CCATAATAGGGCACCCTGCATGATGTAAAAAGCTAGTGCTACTTGTCATAAGAAATTTCCATTTTGTAACAGGTCTGGTCTGTGTCCAAAGGGTTTTTTCAGCTCTGCTGACAGCATATTATTTGACAATGTATAGTTGTTTTTAAAGAATGCTTCTAAAGCAAAGCTCTCAAAAGTAGCAAACTGAAAAGGCAGAAAAGCTCGCCCTCTTCTCATCACGCTTCTCCGGTTCCCCCTCCTTTTCTTTGAGAAAGTTTGTGACATTTTGTGACTGTGTGCGCAAAGGCAGACCACTATGCCTGTCTTGGGGCCCATTGAAAACAAAAGGGCTATATACAGGTGCAGGTTCCACCCACATCTATGTCACTACAGGATCAGGACTTAGTGAGCATGTTGAACATACTTCCTGAGCCTGTTTAAAGTGCAGTTGTACTATGAAAAATGGCACCTGGTTACTCAAGTGGCTTGTATTCAGAGGCACATCTACTCTAGTGACCAACAAGTTTTAACTGCTTTTTATTTCTAAAAGCCTACACAACTGTGAAGGAGCTGGATTCTGTTAATGTTTTCACTGAACATAACATAAGAATGGCCGTACTGGGTCATACCAAAGGTCCATCCAGCCCAGTATCCTGTCTACCGACAGTGACCAATGCCGGGTGCCCCAGAGGGAGTGGATCTAACAGGCAATGATCAAGTGATCTCTCTCCTGCCATCCATCTCCATCCTCTGACAAACAGAGGCTAGGGACACCATTCCTTACCCATCCTGGCTAATAGCCATTAATGGACTTAACCTCCATGAATTTATCCAGCTTTCTTTTAAACCCTGTTATAGTCCTAGCCTTCACAACCTCCACAGGCAAGGAGTTCCACAAGTTGACTGCAGTTAATTTATGTTATCTACACTCCTATTAAGTCCTCTAGAGCCAGACCAACTTGAGTGAGAGCAGTCACGCTGCAAAATAATGCGGCAGAGTTATATTAGCAGCTGATCAGCTGCGCTAATTTGAGTTGCCTATGCCCCCTGACAGTGAGTTGAAAGCATTACCCCACTTAAGGGTTTTTGTGTGTGGACAGGACTCCAGTTATAACTAGTGTTTTGCCCCTAACTCATGTTAACTCAGATGTAAAGACAAGCCCTAAGTATCGACCACAGAGTTGTGTACTGTGTTCCAATCATTTATACCTGTGTATACTTGCTGAAAGCAATTTGGATGAACTGGTATAACTGAGGGGGGATAATTTAGCCTGCAGAATGTTTATTGCTGATGATGATGGTCCAGAAAGAAACAGCTCAGCTTGACCGTTTGAACCCAGTTTGATTTCTGCAAGGGGATTAAAAAAAAAAAGTCTCTCGTAAAATAAGCAAATGTGTTGTGCATTCACTGACAATAACCTGAAATTCCAGACTACCACTTTTCATCGTCTTTCGGTGTAGAATGGTATTTTAAAAGATGCTGTCAGGATAAGAATATATTTAAAATTTTCTATAACACCCTAGATTTTTAAAGCGGAAAGAATTTTACCATCTAATAGCCTCGCCTCACTTCTTTATTGTTTTACTTTTTGCACGACATTCATTCTGGAGAAAACAGACTAGTCACTTCATTTTTATTATCAATCTGCCTGCCTCACTTTCTGCACTTGCACAAAGCCGTTTGTGTTGCAAATGCTGCCGGGGAAGCTTAAACCCATACTAAACATAATCCATATTTTCATTGACCTTGAAAAAGAAATTACGAAAACACTTCTGTTTAAATATCTAAAACCGTTTGCTGGCTTTTGGGAGTTAGTGTTTGGTTGGTTGGTTGATTTTACTCCAAATCTAAATGTTGGGCTTAATTTTAACAGAGTAAAAAAGCAAATAATAAAATAATACTTGACTATTCTTCCAGTGTTCCCTAGCTTACTCAAACCGTAGACACATATGTGAGGTATCCACTAGAAAGTTCCATTGACATCCAGGGCATGTACTGTAAAGCACAGCTGAATTTAGCCCTTTGACTCAAATGCATGAGTAATGTCAGCAAATGTTTTCATCTTTTTTTTAAAAACTTTTTTAAACACACACCTCTGTATCTAGATCAATATACAGAGCGAATTATATATAAATGTAATAAATTACATAAAAACTCCTCCTCCCTTGAATAAACTGTCATTTATTCTCCCTTCGTTTTTACCACTGCCCCTTACTTCCGCACCAGGAGGTGGCTACTTTTGTTACCAGCCCAGAGACTGAGTCCTCCTTGTTCAAACCAGACACTAGGCCCTCTGTGTAATTTCTTTTTCCCCTCCAGAATTGTCGGATGGAGACGAAAATTGCAATACCAGGTGGCCTCCAACCGCTCACTTTCTAAAAATATCACTGTAATAACACGGAGGTGCTAAATGCTGCCAAGTGGCAAAAGAAGCTCTCTGAACTGCGACTCGTTTCATACGCTCTTAGGTTAGGGCGGCCATCTCGTTTTTAAAATCTAGAGTGTCCTTTCCTGCAGTTAGAAAGTTTAGATTTTCATCTCTCCCAAATAACCTCTCCTGAGGGTATTGTGCCGTATGATGGCAGTCAGATGGCCTGCTTCATGTGAGGTAATCTGGCATTTAAGGATTAGGATTGTGATGAAGGTTTCTCTTTAAATTCTACATACTTTCTGAGGGCCCTTGTGGTTTAATGGACCAAGATGGGGCTGAGATTCAGGACCACTGGGTTCTGGCCCTCACAGTCCAGGCTTTATGATCTTGAGCAAGTCACATAGCCAACATTTTCAAATATGGGTGCCTCAAATTAGATAGGTTTCAGAGTAGCAGCCGTGTTAGTCTGTATCCGCAAAAAGAAGAACAGGAGTACTTGTGGCACCTTAGAGACTAACAAATTTATATGCTCTAATAAATTTGTTAGTCTCTAAGGTGCCACAAGTACTCCTGTTCTTCAAATTAGATATTAAATCCACATTTAAGCACTTAAATACAGGTGGTCTTATGTGAGCACCAAGTTCCCATTGGCATAAGTCCACTTTTATGTGAAGGGAACATTGTCAAAAGCGCAAGAGGGTATGTCTACACAGCCGAGGGGAACAAGCTTCCCAGTCCAGATTGACAGACCCGGGCCTAGCAAGGCTAGCGCTAGTCTCTAAAAATAGCTATGTCGCCCCTGCTTTGAAGTTATAGCTGGAGCTTGGGCTTTGAAACCCATCTCCTCCCTAGAGGCCATCGACCCTGGCTGGGTGGCTTACTCCAATATGCTGTGTAGACCTGCCCAAGATGACTCAGAAGGCTAAATAAACCCCAGTGATTTTTAGGCTCAGATCATTTCAGTGCTTTTGAAAAATCTAACCTAAGTACTTAAGTACAGATTTTTTTTCAGACCAGCCCACTTTAAAAGTCATTCAAATCGACAGTGTTTGTTCCCTTAATAAATGTCAATCTGAAAACAGTTCAAAATTCACTGCTCCAGACCAGTCATTTCCATTTTCTTTTTGACCACTAGATGGCTTCCCAGTATAACAGATAAAGAAAGATGAACTCCATATGAATTCGTTTGTGGACTTAATTTGGTAAAGCCTTTACTTTTACCTTTTTCATCACTGGTTTACACAAAATATGCAACCATAAAAATGTCATTTTAAAAAGCAGCTTTTTCCAAGGTTGTTGAATCAAAGACGCCATTGATAAAAATAGCAGGGCGGGGGCCGGCGTCCTTTGTTTTTAGCTCCACATGAATGAGATGGCAAGTATCAGAGGCGTAGCCGTGTTAGTCTGTATCCACAAAAACAACGAGGAGTCCGGTGGCACCTTAAACATTAACAGATTTATTTGGGCATTAAAAAAACCCACTAAGAGTTTTTTTACCCACGAAAGCTTATGCCCAAATAAATCTGTTAGTCTTTAAGGTGCCGCCGGACTCCTCGTTGTTTCTGAATTAGATGAGCATTCCTAACTGTAACCACACTTATTAGCTGTGTATACTTAGCGAATGTGCAAACAGACCCTCCTCAAGAGCGTTTACACCATGAAACTGAATATAAAACAACCAAACACTTGCTTGACCAATGCAAAACAACCAAGTCAAGAGACCTGATTACAACACATTTGCCCCTTCACCCAGTTACAACATGGCTTTATCGTATTGATGTGACCTAAATGTGTTGTAACCTTGCCCTGTATCTGGGCTAAAGCCTGGGACAAGTGAAGGGGAAATGAATGGGCAGAGTTTCAAAGGAGCTCCACTCCCCCTTAGGCAAATGAAGCGACCAAAAGTGACTCCCTTTGAGGGAAGCAGTCTCCCTGGCTCTGTTTTAGCCCACAAAAGCTTATGCTCAAATAAATGTGTTAGTCTCTTAGATGCCACAAGTACTCCTCCTTCTTTTTGCTGATACAGACTAACACAGCTGCTACTCTGAAACCAGTTCTCATTGACTCCTGTGTTGTGAACTTGGTCCACTAGGAACTGGATTAAATCTTCCAAATTAATTCCATACAGCCACCATCAAATGGTAACAGATTTCAGTCCTTAACCAGCCTGTGCTGCCTGGATCCAGACCAGGAACCAAGGGGTGAAAGCATCTATCCCATTACCAACTTCCTAGCCTTGCCAGGGGATCCTCTGTTTTTCTACCCCACATTAAGCTGAAACTCTTAGGACCAGATGAGTCCCTTGAATTGACCCTTAACCCCAATTTCTCTTGCTTTTGTTGGGCTCAAGTAAGATCACTGCATGTTATCTGAAATTTATTAACGTGGAGGAGGAGGTTAGCTGGCTCTCTCTGTTACAATGCTCTTCAATTACAGCCACAAGCCCAACGTGGCATGCAGCAAGTCTTGGCTTGCAGGCTTGCAACCCAGAGAGTGTCTGTTTCAGTGTGTGTGTGTGAGTTTATGTGCAGTGGCTCAGAGATAGCTCTGGGGGGAGGGGAGAGCAAAGCCAGCCACTCAGAAACAGTAGTAAAATCTCCCCAACACTTTAACTGTCAATCAGGCTCAATGGGGTATAAAACCTCCCCGGCGCTGCAGCTGTGATAGGCAGAGAGAGCAATGGGGAGAAATGAATAAGAACCAGAGCTGAAACCGTGCGCAGCCTAACCCTGTCTGTGATCAAGTGAAAGAAACAGGAGAAGGGGGGGAGAGAATTAATCAGCTCTGCCTTTTGCACCAGGCTCAGAAGAGAAGTGCCTGTAGATACTTATATATATATATTTAAGAAACCGACAACCACCTTACACTGAATAGACCCTTTCTTAAAGAGAAAGTCCTGGCAAAGCTTAAGCAATTTCCTGAGTCTAAGAATAGACATGGGCTGTCTGGAAGGCACTGCAGGCTGAAATTTGGAGACCTAGGTTGCTTTATTTTTTAATTATTTTTTTAAATAAAACTCTGCCATTTGGAAACTGGATTTTAATTTTGCACTTTTAAACTGTAGGGGTTGGTGGGGGTTTATTTTTTCTTCCACCCCCCACCCCCAATCTCTCTCTCTCTTTTTAACTTAAACAAACTCTCTGTCCTCCTCCAGTAGAAAAACATTTTACCTGCATGTGACAATCCCAAAGGGAGCTGAGCAGCGAGAGAGGGGAAGCAACTATCTTCTGCACCATTTTACTCCTACCCCCCACGGTTTTTTTTTCTGGTGGGAGGGGGGGGAGAAGGATCTTTCCCGGCCAAGGTTTTCTCTCCCCAGGTTTTGGAAGGGGCTTGAAGACTGTTCCCCCTATTGGTGGGGGAAGGAAGAGGGCGTGTTGCCCTTCATACTCTCTTGCTTTGGTTTTGTGAAGGGCTGAAACAGTTTTGGGGGTGTGGGGTCTTCCTGCCCCGCCTGGATCAAGAGGATGGTTTGGAAATGGCTGGGCGCTTTGCTGCTTTTCCCCGTGCAGATGGTCTATTTGGTGGTCAAAGCTGCCGTGTGCATTTTGCTGCCGGCCAGGCTCCGGGACTTGTCCGGGGAGAACGTGCTGATCACCGGCGGGGGCAGAGGCATCGGTCGCCACCTGGCCAGGGAGTTTGCTAAGCGAGGAGCCAGAAAGGTGAGGACTGAGCTGGGGGGGGCGGGGGAATGAGTGCGGGGGGGCAGCTCCCCGCCCTCGGCCGCCACCTGCTGCTGCTACCAGGTCTCCCTGCGGGGTGACTGGGAGAAACAGACCCCCAAACCCACCCACCCTGCCCCGGGTTCAGCAGGGAGAAGGGGGGAAGAGGGCGGCTGCTTTGCAACCCCCCCCCCGTCATCCCAGCCCTGCTACCTTGGCGTCTGTGTCCTCAGAGCCTGGCCCCCCTCGCGCATCTGCCCCTGCTGCAGAGGGGTCTGTCTGGACCCGGGTCCGGGTTTTGCGCCGGGGAGGAACTGGAGTGGCGTTTTCTGTTTACACGGTTGTGTCTCCGCTGGGGCGCGGAGCGCACTCGGAAGGGGTGGGCGTGGGGCTCGGTTCGGGGCTGGGCACGGGGGCACCCGCTGCCTGAGAGTAGGGTGACCAGATGTCCGATTTTATAGGGACAGTCCTACTATTGGGGGCTTTGTTTTATATAGGTGCCTATTACCCCCCACACCCTTCCCGATTTTTCACACTTGCTGTCTGGTCACCCTACCTGAGAGGCAGGGAATCAATGCGGCTGATCCTCTCCTCTTACAGCCGTTTAGACGGGATTCTGGTCCAATTCCTAAGCGCCTGGAAAGAGGGCAGAGCTGGGCTTTTGGGGAGAGGGGGAGGGGCAGCCCTAAGCGGCCAGGTTCAGTTCACCCTGGTGGCTTTCCACTGAAAGTCAGTCTTTAAACACCCCCCCCCCGCTTGTTCTGTTTGCTCCCCAGAATCATTGGAAGTGGGGGAAGTTAAGGGAGGGGGAGGAAGAGGGTAAGAGTCTAAGTTGCCATGTAGGGGCTCTGGAACAGTTTGTGTAGTGGGGGTGCTGAGAGCCACTGAACCAAACTGTAAACCCTGTATATGATGGAATCCACTTCAAGCCAGGGGGTGCGGGAGCACCCCAGTTCCAGCACCTATGCCGGGATGTGAGGCTGAATGCGTTTCTCCCCTTGAAAAGAGCTGGGGATGAGTCACTGAGTTACCCAGAGCAATCGCATAGGAACTTCAGTTTTTCACTGGCCCTGGTGAGTCCAAAGGTGGGACTCCGGAAAGCAAACACCACAACATGGCTTAGATAGATTTACACTTTAGCTGCTATGAAGGGGCTGGCAGGAATCCCCCGCAGTCAGCTCCTAGGAGACCATCACATAGTGCATGGAGATGGAGTAAATATCTATTCAAAGTAAATCCTATATGCAACTTGCAGGGTGTATGTGTGCGTTTGCCAAGATTCACCTGTCTACAGATTAGCCTTGTGTGTGGCATTGAGATTTACCTGCATCTAGCTGTGAGGGGTGTGTGGCTTGAGGTATGCCTTGTGTACAGCTTTGAGTTTTGTATGGGTTTGAATTTAAACCCTGCATTGAGATTTACAATTCCTTGGAGGCTGAACATACAAGTCATTGAACTTTGGACCTAGACAATCTGCTGACAGTGTACTTTCATCATCTATTAAAATACCATGATTCCTGACTTATTTATTTTGTCAGACTGGTGGCTAAGCCTGGCTGCGCTATGAAAGTATCACCATTTCTGTAACTAGTTTTATTAGCTGTTTGGCTGCAACCCTGTTGGAGACAGAACAATGGTAATAAGCCCCAATACATTAATTGACATGGGTGGAGGGAAAGGGAGCTGTTTTCACTGAGGGTGTAGAGCTGAAACCAAAACAATTGTCATTTGTTTCACAATACAGTTCATTTGTATATTAAGTCATATAGAGAATCATAAAATGTCTCTGAGAGGGGTAAACCTGACTAGAAGGTGATAAAGTATTTGAGAGTTTAGTACTTTCTATGAAAATATGCCCATTATCATTTATGTGGTGGTACGTGGCCAGAGAGAATATGTTCTGGCTTTGTTCTCCATGTCTTCTTTTCTGGCTATCATCTGTCTCAGGAACTGTCTTCACTTGGGCAAATGGGCACTATTTCATAGAATATCAGGGTTGGTAGGGACCTCAGGAGGTCATCTAGTCCAACCCCCTGCTCAAAGTAGGACCAATCCCCAGACAGATTTTTGCCCCAGATCCCTAAATGGCCCCCTTAAGGATTGAACTCACAACCCTGGGTTTAGCAGGCCAATGCTCAAACCACTGAGCTATCGCCCATTAACTCTGATGGAGTTTCACTGAGCACAATTTGGCCCCTTTGTCTAACAGATG